GTGCAAGGATGATGATGAAAATTTGGGGAAGGTAACAAGAAAGCCAAGATTATAGTTGGCTCTCAATATATCATATAACATTTTTTAATTTAAAAAATATAGTTATTTCTCCCTAGAGGTTATGAGTTAGGGTTCTTCAAATGTTATAGATCTGTATTAAGTATTTTTTCATTACCAGCCTCATCCTATTTTCCTGTAGCAAATTTAGACCGAAAGGGAGAAGTTAGTCATCAGTTCACTCTTTCATTTCTTACAGTACTATTGCGGATTCTGCTTCCTAGAGGGGCAAAAAGTTTAGTTACTGCATTTCTGCTGACTATTTCCAAATCTGTCCTTATCTTCTCACTATTAAATTAAATATTACAGTCATGTCTTACTTCAGTCACATATTCATTTGGCCTTATTATTGCCCCTTCACAATACAAATTGAGTGCAAAGGCCAGGCAAATATTCCTAGTCATTTATAAATTGGAATTGTGAATTCTGTTTATTTTAAGAAGGAATAATCTGTTATTAGCATTGGTAGTAAGTGACCAAAATATAGAGGAGATGATCACTTTTAAAGAATTAACACTAATAATGGATTATGAACCATTCTTATTTGAAATTCTTTGAAAGTGAGTAAATATGGCCACATGACTTTCAATTTCACAGACAAAAAAAAAAATCCCTTCTAGATGTTGAGGCTCCACCGGACTCACTCATGTTGAAAAGCTCAAGCAGCTTAACAGACTGCTTTCTAAACACCACAAGGAATTAAAGTGGGAGACAGGAAATGTCATGGAATTTAGAATATCTGAAATCAAAGATCTAATGTGTGGTTAGCTCTGTAAGGAAGTGTTTCTTACAAGAATACAAGGTCAAGTTATATCGTCACCTGTTTGGTTTCACAAAATGTAGTCCTATAAACAAAGATTTCTCCTTCCTAATTTTTTCCCTTCACAACAAACCTCAAATGTAGTGGCCACCTGTTGTTGTGTCAAATTTACAAATAGCCACTTAGTTTTATGTTTAAAAAGTAGCAAACGACTCACATTCCTTCATATTCATTTTCCTCCTTCCCTCTTTCTTTTTCTTCCCTCCTCTGCATTTTCTAAAGTGAATAAATCCATTGTAGAAACTCGAAATAAATTTGCATTTGTTTGGAACGATACAGGCTGCCCAGTATGGCCCAAGTTAATTGTTGAAGATTAAAGTAACAGTATAATTCAGTTGACTCCGGAAGGTGAGAGTTGATGCCACAACTCTAAATCCTCAATCCCCCAAACCTAAAAACAAACAAAAAAAAAAGTAGAAAAAAAGACTGAAAGAAAAAATAAGGATGTTTTGAAACATATAGTATAACTCTTAGCCTATTTTCGAGAAATGCTAGCTTACATGGTTTAAGGAAATGTTTTCATGAGTAGTGTGCATCTTTATGAAAGGGATGATCAGGCGTTTGTCTACCAAACATACATTGGATATTATATAGGTCCTTGGAGAACCTATGAATAAAAGTTCCATGAAGGCAGAGATTCAAACTCATTGTGGCCAAAGGCAAACTCATTGTCTTTTTCCTCAAATTGCTTTGTTCCGTGTCCCTCACCCTGACAAATAACACTGTCATCTGTCAAGTCTGCTAAGCCATATTTGACTCTTTTCTTTTACTCACCCTGCTACAACTCGCTGATTGTTATAGTTTAGAAGCCTACTTCTGGAAGACTATCTTACAATCCTCCCCCTATTTTAAACCCCACTAGTATCACAGTAATTCAGAACTTTTAAAAATCTCTGAGATAGACTCTCCAAACTCACTTTTCTCTTTCATCCATTATAGCCTCTCAAGTTATGTTGCTTAAGCACAGCCTGATGATTTCTAGTCTTCAGTGACTTTGTCCAGTCCACCCAAGATCTTCTACTGTCTAGTCCCACCTCTCCTTTATACAAACTTTCTCCCCCTTAGCACTCACAAAGGACTCTGGACCCCAGCCAGACTGAACTTGCTAGGTTCTTTAGTCTCCTGTGTTTGCTCTTGTTCCCATTAGCTGGAATGTACTTCTTCTTGACTGGTTGAAACCCTCCTCAAAGCTTGATGAGATTTGGCCTAAATTCTACCTCCTCAAAAAAAAATATTACCCATCTTCTAGGTATGAAATAATCATCCATTCCTCTGTGTCCCCACAGCACTTTTAGTTGTTTTATCAAGCAAATGTTTGTTTGTTTGTTTTTTGAGAGAGAGAGAGAGAACACATGGATGTGCAGGCAAGGAAGGGCAAAAGAAGAGGGAGAAAGAGAATCTTAAGCAGGCTCCGTGCCCAGCATGGAACTCAGTGCTGGTCTCCATCTCACAACCCTGAGATCGACCAAAGCCGAAATCAAGAGTCGGATGCTTAACCGACTAAGCCACCCAGGTGCCCCACAAGTAGTTTTTTTTTTTTTTAACAACACATAATTTGGCCTAGACAAAAATTCATTATGTACCCATATTTCTCTTCTTCTTTAGATTATAAGCTGTTAAAGTTTTTGTTAACTGGGTTCTAGAAGAAATAAGTTGCAACGGCAAATAAAAACCTACCTGAGGATGAATACAGTAGTCTTTGAGCATGAATGCATAAGAAGTTAATTTTGCACTTCTCTCTGCTCTAGGGACCTCCAGGAACTTGATGACAGTACCCAGCTCCCTCTGCTTTGCCACTTCTCAGAAACAGCTGAAGGACTCACCACCATTCGGGCATTTAGGCGAGTAAACATGTTTTCATTTTGTGGATTAAGCCATTACATCATCAACAAATATTTATCTACAAATAACTGATAACTGCTACCATTTATTGGATGCCCACTGTGTGCATGGCAATGTTCTAAACTACAAGAATGAAAAATATGGCAATAAATATTCAGAGTTAATTACCTAAAATTTTAACAAAAATAAAGAAAGAATGAAACACCATATTGAGAAGACACTAGCTGTATAATGTAGACCATGCTTTGCAAACCCTAGCCTTGGTTTACTTATCTGTGAAATGGAGAAATCAACTGTGCTTCTTAGGCCCTTGGGCTAATTGAAAAATGCATGTAAAGTATTAACCACAGTGATTAGTGAAGAAGCACCCAATAAACAAGTTAAAATGAATGTATTATTGATAATAATAAAAGAAATATTAAATCAAGGTTATTTCAGGATTGAATCCATTTTCTTCAATGTTGGTAAATAGTGATAATCCAAGCTTTTGATCACGAGTGTTTGCTTAACACTTAAAAAATTATCTGCCCTATTTACCCTGTTTAAGTAAACTCACTAAAGAAGGTGGTACCACTGAATATTTCATTTAATCTTGGAAATTGACATATTAAAGTATTATGTCTTCTCGCAACCCTAAATGCAAATATGTAATTATTTCAATTAGAGATTTTTCTAACCTAAGACATATTTATATTATTTTACATATATAAACTTGAATTAAAACGAATATAGAGGGGCACCTGGGTGGCTCAGTTGGTTAAGTGTCTGACTTTGGCTCAGGTTGTGATCTCATGGTTCGTGAGTTTGAGTCCCGCATCAGGCTCTGTGCTGATGGTGTGGAACCTACTTGGGATTCTCTACCTCTCTCTCTGCCCCTCCCTTCGCTCACACAGACACACACACACACACACACACACACACACTCTCTCTCTCTCTCTCTCTGTCTTTCTCAAAATAAATAAACTTTAAAAAAGTAGAATATAGAGATATAGAGATATAACCATCCACAACGTGTATCACAGAATTTCTACATAAAATCTACATAGACTTCATCATGAAACATTCACATTTTCTGCAGTGGTGTGTTTTCCCATCAGAGTGCCTCTTATTGGAGATGGCAAAATTATTTATTGACATTGTAGCCAGCAATGACCACTGGTACTCATAAGTGCATCATATTAAAGATTACATTTTTCACCAAATAAGTCCTTTCAAGTTAATTTATTTGAGTATTGAATATATGCTAGGTACTACTCTTGATGTGGATATTTAATGATGAAAAAGATATGGCCTTCCACTTCCATCCCAGATAAAAACCACAAAGAAAACAAGATAGCATGGCAAATGAGGGGCAAGAAGTTACTGGATTCAGTCAAGCTGGTCAATGGGACAACAGAAAACTGATGGGTTCAACATATAATAGCCCCTGCTCTGTTTTCTCTCTGAACTAGTTGAGGTTATTTTCTAAGAGAGAGAGGACTAGAATCAGGTAAATTGTCATGAAGGAAATGACAGTTCCAAATGAGAGAAACTTGACCAAGAGTCAAGGTTTAGGCTTTTCATTTACATTTGTCACTAGACACAAGGACAGAATTTAGCATGACTATTCCTAATTTTACATGAGGAGAAGTCTAGGTAGTTGTAAAAAGAACCAAATATTACGTGTTAAACCTTCACGCTTGAATTATGATTGAAAGAAACAAAAGACAACTTTTGGGTAGAAGTATCTGCATCATAATCATCCAGATTTACATCTTCCAGGGTTCCTTTCTAAAGTAAATATTAAATACCACAAGTATCAGCATTTTTAAGCCAAAGGGAGTTTCAAAATGTGGGGCTAGTCCTGCTGCCATGAATAAAATTCTAGAGTCTTTACATTTGGTGCTTGTGGTCAAGAATCAAACATGTTCTTTTCCCTCCATTTCTTCCTTCCTTTCAGGCTCCCTGGATCCCCAGAGTCTTCAGCTCTTTTGGAAAGTTATTATTTACTGATTAGGCTGCTTTTCCTCCCCTGCATTCAGGGATCATGGTGTACTCACACACAGCAGTGTACTCCCTCAAGTAGTTTACCACGAAAGCATCACAGTTAAATTAGACTGAGATTTCAGGGACCTTTCCTTTTTTTTTTTTTTTTTTTTTTTTTTTTTTTTTTTTTTGTCCAACAGAATAAAGGTCTAAGAATGTTCAGAAGATGAGCTGGATGTGGATGAAAAGATACAGACTGAGTGTGTCAAAGTTTCCATTAGGAAAACAGAAGGTTTCTTGCCAAATAGAAACACACAGAAAGAATGTTCACTGCATTTCCACCCCTCCCCTCTCGCTGCTGCTTCAGACCATTGCCAATTCCATTTACAAACTCTTTAAGAGTGTATCTGAAACAATATCCCAAAACTAAATGGGGAGTAAGAAGAGTCCCAGACAAAGCACTTTGTCAGAATAAAGTGTTTGATGTTTATCTCAAATGTAGCCCAGTGGCTTTGGTCCAGTGGGCCCCACCTCCAATCTCTCCACTACCACTGTCCTCTACGGAGAGAACCCTGTCTTGAGCCCCAGAACATGAGTTTTCTCATTTCTGTTCCTTTGCTCATGTTGTTCCTACTGCTTCCAGTGCTTTGTCCTCCCTTGTTCACCTGAAGAATTCAGCTCATCCTTTAAAACTTCACTCGGACCATCCCCACAGTGCTCTTTGAAACTTTGCTTAATCCTCCTTCTCCCCCCGTTCCTCACCTCATTCCCTGCCATCCCGACTCTCTGGTCAATACAAATCACCCCCTTCCTTAATGTTCAAGTAGCATTTTGTGTACGGAGTCATTATGACTAGATTCTGTGCTGTGCCATCCTTGTTTGTTAATACCATGTTTACCGCCTTCACTAAAGAATGGGCTCCTCGAGGGAGAGGTTATGTCTCATTCATGTAGGTATTCTAATGTCTCATTTAGAGTTGGTGCTTCCTAAGTGCTTCTGAATGAGTGGATGAAAATCGACATAACACTGCAAACAGAAAGATTGGCTCTTACATGGATAGATCTCTTTACAATTCATATCCACTATCTCAGTAAATCCTATAATCCTGTGAGCCATTCTACCTTTTCATTATTCACTGTATTCATCTCTAAAAGGGTCATCACAGGACAAGGTAGCCATGTTTCTCTGACTGCTCAGTCCCCTTCAAATGTGTTGCTGTTCAGGGCAGGTCCCCCTGTACGTGGCATTTAGATCAAGGCTGCAAACTCATAACTCAAAGTGAGGTAATTATTTGGCTCTGATTGCCAAATCCTTTGATTACTGTAGATCAGATGTTGCTGTTTGACTCAGTTATCTGATTTATCTGGTTTGGCATATTGGAATGATCAGATCAATTGGACAGATATCAAGTATCTGCTTTATATTGGCCTGTATAGATGGCTTCATGGGCCAAGGGAACACCCCATCCAGGACGTTTTCATTCTTTGATATAGTGATGGTTTAATATAAAGTTTTGCAAATTGATTTGCAGATTTGGGGAAACTTTGGGCAATCTGTTATCAAACAGGAATCATTGCTGGGCTGTCAAATGAAATTTGGCTATTCCTCATAAATGCAACATGTAGTCAAGCAGTCCATATAAGAACAGAGGGTGGATAGACCACATTTTGATATGGCATTTCTTCCAACCTTCAAACCAGTTATTTTGATTATATTATCCAGCTTTCCATTGTTTTGGTTATTCAGGGAAAAATAATTGAAAATGAAAAGAGACTATTTCTGTTATTTAGATTTATCACCATGTAGCATGAGTTCTGTGAGAGAGTAGCTCACATGTTGATATGGATAAGATTTTTCTTAGAAGTTTCATTTATAACATGGATTACATAGAATTTGGTCTGATGGCATTGGTTGCCAAGAATGAACTTAATTTGGTCAGGAATCAATATCTAAACTGTATATGTCATAGAACCCTGTAGGTACCATAGACTAAGAGTTCCTTCCATGCAATGACCATCCTTACAAATATTTTAGAATCTTGAGCGTAAGATACCACATCTAGCAAGAACATTTGCCACCTCCAAGGACCCCCATCCTCCACTTCTTGCCACCCAGTTTCCTTCTTTGGTTCCCAGAAACACTGGGCAGCAGTAGATATTTAAAAGTATATATTTTCCTGTTACACGTGCATAGTTTCCTGTCTTTCCTGGTCCTCATCCAGCACCTCCCACCCAACTCTGTGTCATTGGGAAAAGTAAAATATGCAATAAAAAGTAGGCATACTGCATTTCTGTACAACTTACTCTGGTTTTTGTAAGGCCCTTGCAACATAGGCCATGCCTTGTCTTTGTGGCTACAAAATTATGTGGAAATTTATGAAATGATCTTTAATAGGAATTTGTCATCCAAAAGCTTCTTTTTCATAGCGGAGGTCTGAGAAAGGAGGAAACACCGAACCACACCCTCTCCAGCAAGCATACAGCAAAGCAGTAGCAGCTGGCCTTTATTTTGAAGTCGGAGTCAATTTACTAGTCATTCCATCCCATCAGTTTGTCACTGTCGAGTAAATAGTGTAGTAGTAAGTGTGACTGTTTCTTATTATTTCTCCTGTTGTGTGGCTAGCATGATAATAATTTTGTTTTCTACAGGCACGAAACCAGATTTAAGCAACGTATGCTGGAACTGACGGACACAAACAACATTGCCTACTTATTTCTCTCAGCAGCCAACAGATGGCTAGAGGTCAGAACGGTACGTTCATTTCATGATTTCGAAATGGAAACCAAACAAAAAAAGGGGGCTGATGCAAAGAGGGAGACAGTTGTAAAAATTAGTCTTGCACTGAGATTCAGCACTAACTTCACTTTTCCAGACATTAAAATAGCTCAGGTTTGTTTATGTTACAGATGAAATTTGTCATAATGTTTTAGCTAATGGCAAGACAAATAGCCCAAAAAGCAAAAATTCATTTTGTGTTCTTTAGTCTCTAGATTACATAAGTTAATGGAATGGCAAATGTTTGTATAACTTCAGTTTTTTTTTTCAAAAAAGCAAATTTGACAAGTGAACAGATGTACTCATTTTCCTTCATTGAGCAGGACAAGCCTAGAAGAGATGGTGACTTTCTATGTTTTAAGCCAGTGGAGGATCACATTAGCACAAAACATAAAAAACTGCAATTAATCATCTGTTGCCTTCTTCTTTCCTTTATGAAGTAGGAGAACAGGCACATGCTTTGGCCTCATGCAGACTTGAATCTAGCAAGTTAATTAATTTATTTGAGTCCTGTTTCCCATCTGTAAAATAGAAACAAGAATAGGGGGGTGTTGCGATGAAAAATAATAATATAAGTCCTCTAGTTCACTGATTAGCAAATGCACTCGACAAATGACTTTTGAATGAATGGATGAATAAATAAATGAGTGGAAACAGCACCTACCCTGGTAAGTGGTTCATAAGCCAACCGGCTGGAGTATGAACCAGGAGACGAATGAGATACAAATTCCAGAAAGGAAGGAAATGTAGTTTGCAGACTAGTCTGCATAATCAGCACTATAAATAAGCTATTTTTGTGGTAATGATGAGTTGTCTGTAAACTTTTTAAAAAATAATTACCTGTCCATTTGTCAAAAGGAAAAGTAAGTTTATCTGTACTATTGTAAGGACATCGAGTCTACTAATTAAACATCCCTACTGTATGCAGGCTTTCAAAACTCAACAGACCAGAGAGGGCAGATAGTGAAAGGAATTTGATGAGGTTAAAATGAAGGAGGCTAGGTTGTAATCTTGAGTTGTTGATAGACGGATACAAATTGATATAGATTCTTAGAGCCCCCTGTGAGCTTTAGTTGTCATGATTTTCCACTGGTTTAGAGATTCTTTTCCACTATATTAGTAATAATATAGAAATTATTCAGTGACATAAGACAATTATATTTTACAAATTTTAGATTGGTTGTTGTTAAGAAATTCCTTCCAGGTAGCTCTGGGGCAGGACAAAATGTCTCCTGAATTACCTATATATAGATAGCATGAAAGCAGATGAAGTACTGCTTAGGATTTATAACCAGACTAAGACCTTATTTCTAGATCCTATCCAGACCCTAATTCCTCGTTTTAAGCTTCTATTTGTTTGTTTAAATTTGTTTTCTCTAAGGAAGAAAAAAGCCCAATCATATCTGAATAACAGAATTAATCATGAAATAGCTTAATGAAAGAATGTCCCCAAACCACAAGGGAAAATATCAGTAGTTACCTTTGTTATCTGATTTTTCTTAACTTGGAGATCAAGCATGTTTTTTAAGGGGCAAGTGTGTTTGCTTTGGACTTGAGGTGAATGTGTGACCAGACTCCTGTTTCTGCTCTTTTGCACTTCCTACTGTCAGGTTAATGGACAAGTGTTTAACAAGAATCTTCAAGCAAACCGTATGTTCTACTCTCATAGCCAGAAGACAAGATATTAGAGCCTTCAGACTGCCAAAAAAGGGGAAGTCAGGAAAAATTAGAGAGAAAGAGTGGCCAGATTCAGAATGGCTTAGTTCAGTTTGACTCATGGCCCATTACTTTAACCCCCAAGTGAAAAGGCAGCAGACCAACCTGAATGTAAAAGAATTCTAGTTCCAACTGTAGAAACTGAAAGAAAATACTGGTATTTGAAACAGGAAGGGCAGACTTTGCTATCTATTTTGTTCCTTTATAATACATTTGTTAGTATGTCTTGTCTTTGTTTTCTGTGTTATAATCCTTCCAACATTTGCTGTCTAATCTCATTACCAGAGCTCTCCCTTAAAAACCAATACAAAAATAAATCAGGAATCTTTGGCTTCTATTTCTTATGGATAAAAGTAAATTTTTTAAGGAACTTGTTGATTCATTGCAAACTTCCAGGCATATCTGCAGACAGAAATCAAGTTCCACAGTCTTTTGTATATGATTTGTCTCTTTTGCCTAATTGTGTGTGTCAATAAGTTTATATAGGTGTATATAGGTTTATATAGGTGTGCACGCACACACACACACACACACACACACACACACACCCCTCTAGACAGCCCTCAGTGATCCAACTTAAAACTAGTCAGATTCACTCTCTTTCTGTTTTTTTTTTTTTTTTTTTTTTTTCTGAGTACATTGAGAGTGTTCGTTAGAACCAGGCTGTTATTTAGAGTATGTAAATATCAGAATATTTATTTGAATATAAATGCTGTAATCCAAGAACATGTGCTACAGTAGGAGTATTGAATAAATTAACTAGATAACTCCTATTAGGAAATAACCTTTCTCCTAATTGTATACATATAAAGAACTCATTACTACTGTCCTCCTGTGGACATGTCCACATCACCGGAGACACAATTTCAGCTTGAAATAAATGGACCTTTTGTCAGAAACATGAATGTTGAGATATAGGACCTTGGAGACTAGGGTGTGAACTGTTCTCTGACCCCGACAGCTGTGGACATAGTCTTGTAAGTCATTAAAAAAATAAGTAATGAAAACTTCTATTTGTTGCAGTGAATCTGCATTGATCTTACTTAACCCACAGTATTGACATAACTCCTCCTTTCTCTATTCTTTGCCATATTACTCAGCAAATTAAGAAAAATATTTGCTTATAGCAAATATTCTTGGAGTTCTCAGAGCAGAAACACAACTAAAGTGGTACAAGGAAGGTTGGGGCATTGGGCATGAATCAGAAGAAGCAAGTGTTTGCTCTCCTGTGTGAGGGGAGATCCTGATGCAGATCTAGGGATTTCACCAACTCTAATTCACTCATCACCTTAATGAAGAGAAAGGGGAGAAAATTTATTGTGGTTTTCTGTGGCTATTTTTTGCCTCCCTTTCTCTTCATTCTCAATTTGAGCTTTCAAAAGCAATGTCACTGGATTCCCTGGACAGAAAATCTCAAGAAGAAAGGAAGGGAAACCAGAGAAAAACACCTTTTGTGGGATTCGGGAAGATCCATGAGCCCCATCCAATTTTTGTTCATTCTCTAATTTATTTTAAATACATGGCTCTCATTTCTTTCCCTCATCAACTTAAGTGAGAGTTAAGACAATCACAAGTTATTCCCCTTCTCTGAGTGAACAGCTTTCCCTACGGAAGAGGTAGCCCTGACCACTGTATTCATTTCATACTCCTTCTGAATTAGCAAAAAAAGATAAAGGTCACCATACACTCACATCGAAAAAGGACAAGAGTCTAAAAGAGCAAACTAATTGGCTGGAGGAAAACTAGCAAGACCATGACCACCCAGGTTGCTTTGGCAGAGAGGGGAGCATTTTTCCTGTGGGTGCCAAGTGGAGGGGGCCGCAATCACGTGCAGAGTGTCACTACAGCCTAACCTTTGAATGCTGCTTACGTTCTCTGGTTCGACATGGCGTTTTCTCTTCAGCCCTCTGCACTAAACACTTCCAGTTCTTTGGCACCGGTGTTTCCATTTGCGAAAATTGTGTAACTCTATCTAAAGGCTGTCTTTCCAAGGCTTTGTCTTGCTGTGTGGTGAAAGGATAAAAGAAAATTCACATCGGGAAGCCAAAAAGAAAGTCTTTAGAATCAACAGACTGAAGTGAAAATAGTATTCAGGGTGAGCTTGCACGAGAGCCTGTTTTATGAAGCAACACAGAGCTTTTTTGTGTGTTCATAACTCCACAACAGACAGGTGTGCACTGATCTTATACTTTGGAGGCCCTGATATATTCCCCCAGATACTCAGTGGTGCCATAGACCAGTACTTCTGAGGGCTACAAAAGGAAAGAGATTGAATCTCTATTAACTATTTGCAAGTCTGTTTTATAGAATTATAGTTTTCACTATAGAAAAGATAGATAGATGCCATTGAATCACTGGAAATCCAAGAAGAGGCCTCTCTTTTAGCTTTGAAAATCAAAGGCTTCTCTTCTGGAGGGAAGTGTTGAATTCACAAACTCGATGGAAGTTATAATTTATCACTAGACAGATAAAAGGTCCTCTGGTGGGGACCTCTTTTAGAACTGGCAGTTCACATAAGCAGTAGCTTCTATTTCCTAAACTGAATTTGTCATTCCATTGTATCGTTTTGACCACAGGTGCTTTTATTCAGTGAATTGATTGATTAGTATGTGTAAGGACTTAGCAGTAGAATAAATGCTGCCTAGTGACCACTAAGTGCTAAGTATTTGATCTCCTGTGTGAGTTATTCAGACCAGCTGCTTCTCCTTTCTTAATTAATAGCCTTGAAGCCATTTTGTTGTTCACATATTTGCGAAAAAAGGAAAGAAGGTATAACTGTGCAATCACTTTGTAATTCATTACATTGCTTAAGTTTAATGGTAAAGAAACAAAAAGTAGGGAGCTAGCATAAACTCTTACCTTATCCACCAATTTCACACACCTATACTCTTATCCTATTTGAAGGGAAGTTAATAGAATTTAGTATTTCTGCTATGAGTTCTCATGATAAACATTGTGCACAAAAGAGCTTCCTTTCTTATGCAGATCAAGGTAAAATTCTGATCAAATGCCTCCAAAAAATTCCAAATTCATTACAAAAAAATTTCTTTGAGCAGTGGAAATAATCTAGGAGTGAACTGAAAATATCTAGTTTGGTCTAACCAGAAGACAACATGGATAGTACTTTCTAAAAAAAAAAAAGATAAAGAATATTTTTATAATAAATAAAATAACTTTGATATAGCTTTGATATAGGTACAGACATCCTGGCTCTTAAGCCCTCATATCTATTCGAATTTAGTGGACTGTAGATTTTGAAAATGTGTTCATCCACTGAAAATGTGCTATAAATGTACTTTAAGAAGCTATGCCTTATCACTGAGATGTCAAAAACATTATCTCTTAAAACCAAAAAACCAAAAACATTATCTCTTATAAGTAAATTTTGGCATGTTTTATTTACTGTGATAATAATTAAAATAATAGTGTCTAATTATCATAATGGAAACCTTACAAGCAGTTTTAAAAACATTAGCCATATGAAAGAGAGCCAGAAAATATATATTAACTCAAACTTATTGATCAGCCTTTTCCTTTCCCTCCTTCATCTGTTTTTACTTCTCTTGCTGGCTTTATTGCCAGGGTAAACTATCTATTACCAGAATTACCATTTTAATGTAATAGAAAATAATTTAAATAATCATCTAATTGCATTTACCATTTAGTTCTATAACAAGTGAATCTAAGCCCCAATATAAAATATAACGATTCCATAGTCATTTTAATGGAAGGGGAGAGGGGTGAGAGAAAGAGAAAAAGAGACAGAAGGAGACAGAGAGTTTGAGTACATAATGTTTTGCATTTCCTTTATAATGTTTATATTAGGGCTACTGTCTAATTTCCATTGTTGAGACTCAGTGATTATTTTGTTGTTATACTTTTAAAAGAATGTATGCAATTTTGAAAAAGAAAAGCAAAGCTGGAGGCATCACAATTCTGAATAAAGCTGTAGTGATCAAGACAGTATGGTACTGGTATAAAAACAGACACACAGATCAATGGAACAGAATAGAAAACCCAGAAATGGACCCACAGCTATATGGTCAACTCATCTTTGACAAAGCAAGAAAAAATATCCAATGGAAAAAGTCTCTTCCACAAAGGTATTGGAAAAACTGGACAGCAACATGCAGAAGAATGAAACTGGACCACTTTCTTACATCACACACAAGAATATATTCAAAATGGATGAAACACCTAAATATAAGACAGGAAACTATCAAAATCCTTGAGGAGAACAGAGGCAGCAACCTCTTTGACATCAGCCATAGCAACTTCTTACTAGATATGTCCGGGATGCAAGGGAAACAAAAGCAAACATGAATGTTGGGACCTCATTAAGATAAAAGGCTTCTGCACAGCAGAAAGATAAAGGGTTACTATCCAAAATCTATAAAGAACTTATCGAACTCAACACCTAAAAACCAAATAACCCAGTTAAGGCATGGGCAGAAGACCTGAATAGACACTTTTCCAAAGAAGACATCCAGATGGCTAAAGACACACGAAAAGATGCTCAGTTTCATTCATCATCAGGGAAATACAAATCAAAACCACAACGAGATACCATCTCATACCTTCAGAATGGCTAAAATTAACAACACAAGAAACAACAGATGTTGGCGAAGATGTGGAGAAAAGGGAGCCCCCTTACACTGCTGGTGGCAATACAAACTGGTGCAACCATCCTGGGAAACAATATGGAGGTTCCTCAAAAAGTTAAAAATAGAACCACCCTATGATCCAGCAATTACACTACTAGATATTTACCTAAAAGATACAAAAATACTGATTCGAAGGGACAAATGCATCCAGATGTTTTTAGCAGCATTATCAACAAGAGCCAAACTATGGAAAAAGCCCAAATTTCCATCAACTGATGAATGGATAAAGAAGTTGTAGTAGACATATATAATGGAATATTACTCAGCCATAAAAAAGAATGAAATCTTGCCATTTGCAACAACATGGATGAAGCTAGAGTGTATCATGCTAACTGAATTAAGTGAATCAGAGAAAGACACATACCATATATGATTTCACACATATGTGGATTTTCAGAAATGAAGCAGATGAATATGGTGGGGGTGGGGGAAAGAGAGAGGCAAACCATAAAACAGACTGTAAACTATAAAGAACAAACAGGGTGGCTGGAAAGAAGGTGGGGGGGATGGTTTAAATGGGTGATGGGCATTAAGGAGGACACTTGTAATGAGCACTGGGTGTTGTAAGTGATGAATGACTAAATTCTATTCCCGAAACTAATATTATACTATGTGTTAACTAAATGGAATTTAAGTAAAGACTTGAAAATAAATGAATGAATGTATGAATAAATCAACAGATAGATGAATGAATGAGGCTCTTCTTCCCAATAAGGCCAGCTGGGAGAAAGTAGAGAATATAAATTAATAAAAATGTGCCTTGTTTCAAAGCCTTAATGTGTACATTACCCACAGAAATTTCTCAGAAGCTGAATGATGTATTTATTTATATCAAACTGAGAAGGAGGACCTTGCTCAAAGTATCCCCTGATACTAACTTGCTTTCTGGTACTTATCACAGAAACTTTTTATAAGTCCTTTTTAAAAAGATAATATAGAAATTACAAATTTACAGCATAACTTCAAAAGTACTAACTTTAGACAGAGGGCTGGAAGGAAAAATTCATATTGCTGTAAATATTTTAGAAGTATTTTGGGAGCATGTTGGCATTTGTAAGATGTAAGAGTGGCCCAGACTGGTTAGATTATGCATCCATGTAGTTGTTGCTTCAAATAAAGGGAAAATGAAGAACTGTCTAATTGGGATGTGACAAGTTGTTAACACATGGTCCCACTGGAAGAAGCAATCCAAGGAGCATTTACTACCTCTTTGGAATTTACTGCCTCAAGAGAGTAACTCTGCATGATTTCTTTCTTTATTCTTTATAAAGATCATGGGAATCATTATGGAATTAAATTTTAGTGCCTCTTTTAACCTTTGATGTTTTATGATGCACATAAACTTTTAAGCTTGCTTCAAACGTTTGAAAATCATCCAGAGGAAAAAAGACATCCTGATACATGGAGGTGGTTAAATCTAACGGGCATTTAATCTTTTTTAGTCCTTTCAAAGTCTTTGAATTAGGTATCATTTCTATTTTCCAAAGAAACTGAGTTTCAAAGGGATTTAAATTATTTGTCTGGTAATTGGCAAAGTCAGGGTCTGAGCCCAGATCTCTGATTTCAAGGCTGGGATTACTGATTGCTCCTCAAGAACTAGGTCTTTGGAGCTGTTTTAAAAAGAGTTCGGAAAGCTCACATGGGAGATGATTTGAGTAACTTCACTTGTTACTCCAGTATGTTAAGCAGTCCATTACTGTCATTAAGGTCTTTTTTTTTTTTTTTTTTTTTTTTTTTTGAGGGATCAGAGACATATCTAGACTTGAAAGGTCACAAGTGAGATGAGACTTAAAATAACTGTAGAAGTGCTCATGCCTGAAATGCTACCTGCTTCTGGAACATGTGACTCATCAGCATGAAAAGTTTGAAAGATTTCTTTTACAAATGATAAGACATAACAATGACTAAGACTGCTGGGAAATGGGAAGGAACAAGGTGTTTGAAAATGGATGGTTGTGCCCTGTTTCTTATTTGAGATAAAGACTGGCCTCAGTGAACTTTTAAAAATTTCACAAAAGAGTTTACCATTGAGTCATAGCTCATCCAGATGCTCTAAGACAGGCCCACACTTCCCATTTAAGAACAAATATAAACCCTTATCCTTATTTACATGGAATCTGGAGACTTAATGTCCCAAACACTAAGCCTAGATATTTGACAAACAGTTTAGACAAGAATCTAAAGTTAACCAGATGCAAATTTCTGCCAAGCCCTTACTATATAGCACAAGGGAGCTAGATCACAACTCTGACATAAGCACACATGAAATTGAAGGTAGTAAATCAAGTTTTGAAATAATTACTTGTCCGGCAACACAATGCTATAGCAAGGGTGGGGGAGGAGAAAAAGAAACCCTACGTCTGATCCTGGTGGTGCCACCAACTGCAGCTTAATTTCTGGCAAGTTATTTAACTTGTATGAATCCATTTCTGCACAAATGCAATGAGAGTGCTGAATCACTCCCACTCCAGCCCTAATATTGTGAGTTGTCATTCATCCGCATCTTAGGTAACCTTCCCCTGAAATTTATGTGTACTGTCTTAGTACCCACCTCTCTAAATTGATTGGTACCTTTTGTATGAGAACTCGACGAAAATCTTTTAGCATTTTTTTTACTTGCTTCTTTTTAGGATTATTTGGGAGCTTGCATTGTCCTCACTGCTTCCATTGCATCCATCAGCGGGTCTTCCAATTCTGGATTGGTGGGCTTGGGTCTTCTGTATGCACTTACGGTAGGTATGGATGAAAATGTCTCTTTTCATGTGGTGTTGGAGGTGCTTTCTATAGTCATCGTCAGTTCTTATTCATGGATTTAGAGGAGCAGTTTGAAATTCATAATGAAATGACATCTTGCAAATAATGGTAGGATGGGGCACAAGCTCAGCATTTTAGGACAGTGTGGATTCAGTTCTTAAACTGTGAGTCAGTTTTTAGAAACTGCTCAAACTCTATGGTGAGAGCACTCCCGAGGTGTGAAATCCCTGTCCTAAGTCATTGACAACCCATTCTGAGAAACTAAAATGAATATGAATATAAATGAGAGAAGTACAAACAGGTAATACAACTTGTGCAGGGAAGCAGGGGACAGTTTACACAACACTGACATTTGAAGACACTTGAAGAAGAGTGGACACTGTCTTTGCCTGCTTTATCCCATGATACCCTCCCTGGTCTCTGATATCTTGCAGCACTTATAAGTCATAGCACATGATGTACACTAACTGTACAAGTCATCCTATCCTAAAATATCCAGTGATTACAAAGATTGCTACTTTATTTTAAACGTGTTAACTTTTTTGTCACCTGACGCAGATAACCAATTATTTGAATTGGGTTGTGAGGAACTTGGCTGACCTGGAGGTCCAAATGGGGGCAGTGAAGAAAGTGAACAGTTTCTTAACTATGGAGTCTGAGAACTATGAAGGCACCATGGGTATTGTTCTGAATATTATTTTGTTTCACTTAAGTGTTTATTTTATATAAATGATAGTTGTGTGTCAGACACTGTCTTTTTTGCTTTTGTTTTCCACTTTAATATCCAGAGAATCCCTTCTCATCTTGACTTTGCTTTATAAGGTATACCTGAAATAATATGACTACTTAGGCCTGAAAAGTTTTGGATACAACCAGAATCCAAATAGATATTATTTAGTAATATTTAAAGAGAATTATAAAAAGTATTTGGACTTTATTACATTAGTTACCAGCCTAAACTATGAACTATTGTGTTTTCTTTCTCAAGATCAATTTAACTTAGATGTCAAGAAACTTGGATCTTAAAACTACTCACTAAGATTCTCAGCTTTGCTAGAAAAAAATTGGCAGGAAATTCAATACTGAAGACGGAATGATCTTTCTTAATTTCATGCTTAAAATGCATTCTTCTGCCTAAATACTTCAATAGCTATCCAGATCTTCAAGGACAGAACCCAGATAAGTTAAGCTAAGATCACTAGACTCCTCATTAGTCGATCCTTACCCACCTACCCTAGTCTCATCTCTCATCATCTATCTACACACCTTTTACTCCGGCCATACCAACATCCTATGGTTTCTTTCTATGGTTTTCTTTTTATCTTTTTTTCTCTTTATATATATTTGAAACAAATTTCACCACCCCTTATCCTTGTAAGACTCATCTCAGCCACCATCTCCTCTGGAAACCCTCCCGGAACTCTCAGGTTACCACCAGCTGTGCTCCCAGAGCACCTTGGGTTGGCCTCCATCACTGACTCTCCTTGCAGTGTTGCAGACACCAACTTACTTGTATGCTTCCCCCAGGACACAGTGAGCACCATGAGGTGTGTCTTTCATCTCCATATTTCCAACACATTGCACAATACCTCTCACATTTTAAGTACTCAGATGTTTCATGACTGACTGACTGAACAAAGGAATGAATAACTATCTTAAAGAGAATCAAGTTATGGAATGCAGAAAAGACATTAGATAGTTCATGCTCCAAAACAAACACAAAATGACTATTTTGAAAGTTCTTAATCAATAGGCCTTTACTCTGAATGTAATTTTAATTTTAAAAAGACATAGCATTTGGTTCAGTATTACTTTAAATTTACCAAAAAAGTATATGTTTGTATGTATAAATGTATATCAGTATGCGTATGTTTCTTTCTGTCACTCTCTCCTTCCTTTTCTCTCTCTCTCTGTCCCTTTCTCCCTCCCTCCATTCCACTCTCTCTTCCTCTCTCTCTGACTTCCCCTACTCCACCCTCACCCCCCAAGACCCTTCTCAAGTTCCAGAACATTGGCCACAGGAAGGGGAGATCAAGATTCATGATCTGTGTGTCAGATACGAAAATAATCTGAAACCTGTTCTTAAACATGTCAAGGCTTACATCAAACCTGGGCAAAAGGTATGGAATTCATTGCCATTTGTTTCATACAAAACCTTTGATGGAGCCATTTTATCACTACCTAAGCTCTTCAGACATCCAGCCAAGTACATTCTCACTGGGCTCATGTAACACTCCTGGTACTTTACAGATCAAATTATCTACATAAAAGAGAGGGGAGATAGGATCAGGATAAAATACATGTTCTCTAAGTTACATTGCCATTCATTAGTCTCCCACGAAGATCAGGGAAATCAACAATACATGTGTTTTTCCAAATTTTTGGCTTCTGGCTCAAAGCCATATTGGACATCCCCTTGAGAAATTTTGCATTTGAACTAGCTCTAGTCCCAAAATGGTTTGTTTTAGTTACTTTAAAAAGAGAAAATGTGCAGAAAAAAATTGAATCAGTCTTGTTTGTTATAATATCATCACTTCTAATATAAAGTTGAATACTTACTTATTAGACCAACAATACACTAAACACAAAAATTAAGCCATAAAGGAAAAACAACACAACCACATACACATCAAAAGAGCTAGAATGAAGTCATTGAAGATTGGTGAGGATTCTATGTTTTCATCTTAATGATAATACATAAAGGAGCCCTAAGAAAAGAATAATGATTTATTATAACTATTTAAATAGAAATGCAGTTTCACCATGGTATCTTGTCTAAATTAAAACTACTTTTGCCCATTTTCTGTGTCCTCTTCTCTTTGGGTGACATTTGCTTTTTTAGGTGGGCATATGTGGCCGAACTGGCAGTGGGAAATCATCATTATCTCTGGCTTTCTTCAGAATGGTTGATATATTTGATGGTAAGTTACTAACTCAGTTTTTTTTTTTCATGACTATATGGTGATTTTCCTTAAAAAAATGCAACATCAACTTACCTAATCCTGCAGAAATAACAAACGAATATTTATAAGGACTTTGTGTCCTGCAACCCATGGCTTGAGGTAGGTGTCCCAGATAAACACTCTAGAAGTAAAGAATGAACATAGAATTGCTAATAAAATTATTAGCCTTGAACTCAACTCTAGAGACTGTTGTTGAAGAATTCTAATAAACTGGTAAAACGAAAACAGTACCATCCATTTTGAACAGCAGTAGATTCAGGTGGCATTTTAAGAGAAAGGAATAGGGGAAACTAAAAATATATCCATTCCCATCAAAGGAAAAAAATGCAAGGAGATAAGTAATCTACATTATTAATTTTGCTGCATGACTCTTACTATCATCTTAGTAACATGGTTTAATGATGTTGAACATTTTGTGAGGCAGCAAAGCTGCAAACTGCCAAGCACATGTTGAAAACATACAAAATATTTATGCATCCACAAAATTACTAATAATATGATACGTGGAAATAATTTAATCTTTGCTTTAGAAAAAATATGTCACATTATTTAGTCTATCAAGTGGCCTATAAATAGCCCAGCACATAAGCAATCTTGAATAAAAGGGGATCCAGCAATGTGCTTGATCATGAGCTCAAGGAAGTGCTTCCTATTATTATCTGAAATGATTATGCTGACAATTATAGTACTTCACATTTTTATTATACTTGACAGTTTATATTACTTAATGTAATCTACACAACAGCTGTGTGAGATAAAGAGGTCAGTTTATGAACAGCGCAGATGAACAGGAATTGAAGTCTCTTCAGGGTTTAGACTCAGAAGCAGAGTAGGCATCAGCCACTGGGTTAGCAGCCTGCCCTTCCATGGCGAGTAATAATACACAGGTACTTTGAGGACTTTCAGTGGTTTTGCATTGTAAGTCAATGACATAATCCAAAGACAATTGATTGACACTTTTCATTCAAAAAACAAAAACAAAAAACCTGTGGCTGTAACTGTACATATTAGATTAGCCTTTTCCTTCCTCACGAATCCAGAAACATGATTTTAGGCTCCATGTGAACTATCAATGACTGATTCTCTTATTTAGCATTAAGCTATTAAGATTTTAATAGATAATGTGGTACTCCCGAAAGAAAGTTTAAGTTGATCACTTTGCTTCTTCTTGAATCTAAATCTAGCTGGAAAAGGGACTCCCACCTGCCATTTTTCACCTGGCCACTCATTTCATAGGGCAATACTGTCTTTACACAAAGTGATGTGATAAAATAGCTTATCAATTTGAGGAAAAAACATCAATATTGCACAAGTCTCTGATAAGTCTAAACACAGTATGGAGAAATTCATTAAAATTTGATTTGTATGTCATAGAATTTCCTTTCTTATTTGCAAAGCAATGTTCTGTTCAATCAATACAAGAGTAAATAATTTAGATAAAAATCACTGTCTTCAAGGAGTTATTATTGTGGTTAGGAGAAAAAGACAATTAAAACAGATAGGTAAATGTATATAGAATATCTTGTGAAGGAAAATAAACGAGGAAGGAGGGTAAAGGAATATTGGAAGAAAGAAGACCCATTAAGGAGAAAAAGTACTTTTGGTTTGTATGAACCACAGAAATTGAATAGAAACTGAGAATCTCTTTAAGGGAAAATACATAAGATAAAATATCACCAAAATGTATATTTTTCTTAGAGATGCATAATGATGTTTTTAATACTTAAATGGAAAGCTTTATCTTCTGAGTTTCAACCCTGAACCCGGCAAGTACTTTCCGTTTGTAAACAATATTGTTTTTCTTTTGATTTTACTACGTGCTTATAATTTTTGTTTCTCTTTAACAGGAAAGATTGTCATTGATGGGATAGACATTTCAAAACTACCACTGCACACACTACGTTCTAGACTTTCAATCATTTTGCAGGATCCAATACTATTCAGTGGTTCTATTAGGTAGGTGATGTATTCAACAGAGACCTGTATGCCTCAGGATTTACCTTTTGGCTCATGGGAGGGTTTTACTCAGAACTGTTTTTCAGGTAGGTGTGAATAATGTTATCAGGATGATAAGATCAGAGAGGTACCTGGCTGGCTCAGTGGATAGAGCAAGCCACTTGATCTCAGGGCTGTGAATTCAAGCCCCACATTGGGTGTGGCCCTACTTAAAATACATTACACATGTATTATAAAATACAAAATAATTAAAAATTTTTAACTTTTAATTAAAAATAAAAAAGGAATCAAACAAACAAAATAAGGATGATAAGATCAAATATTCTGACCAACAGTTTGGATTGGGAAACCCTAGAGTTGCTGAATTAACCTATAGAAGCCAGTCCCTTATATATTTCTAGGAGCTCTGCTCTTTAAGTTTGACTCCACAAAAGCTACTTTTTCTTCTGTACTTGGAGCAGCGATTGTTGACAGACATTTCTAAGGTGTTCTGCCTTTACAGATATCCTGCCTATTGCTTATGCGTCTGGCCTGGGCTCAGCAGATATTAAGTTCAGTGAATCCCTTGGCTCCCCTATCCCTCACAATTACTCTTTCAGCCAAAATTGCTTTTAAGAAGCCACTACAATCTTCTCGATACCTGGTTTATGGTTTCCCACAGTAAAAAAAGAAAACGAAAGAAAGAAAGAATGGCAGTATCTAGGTATCTACTATCTTCTAAGTGCTTTGAATATATTGTCTCATTAAATCTTCAAAGCATTGCTCTAGTATACATATTATTATCCTTATTTTACATACGAAAATTTTAAACCTCAGAGAAGCTCTAATTTGTCCATGTTTATACACTTAGTAAGTGGTAGAACTCCAATTCCAAATAATGTTCGTCTGACTCCAAAGCCCACCATGGCATTATCTGCCGGGTCATGTCTCTCATTCCATACATCCTTTGTTCTCTCTGGCTCCCCTCCTCTACCTTAATTACAAAGAAGTATTTGCCACTTCTTTTTGTCTTGAAGAGAAAATGTATGTAAGGTTGCTCAATATTCAGCTGTAAAATCATTTTAATTAAAAGTTGTATAGGGGTACCTTGGTGGCTCAGTGGGTTAAGAGTCCAACTTTGGCTCAGGTCATGATCTCATGGTTTGTGAGTTAGAACTCCACGTTGGGCTCTGTGCTGACAGCTCAGAGCCCGACGCGGGGCTCGAACTCACGGACCGCGAGATCGTGACCTGGCTGAAGTCGGACGCTCAACCGACTGCGCCACCCAGGCGCCCCAAAAAAAAGAATTTTAAGAAAATAAATAAAAGTTGTGGATGTATCAAGTTATTTAGTGATACCATAGTGAATTTCTATCTCTGAATATATTTATGATGAATACTACTATTGTGGTTGGTGCAGCACAGCTCATCTAAGATATCATTATATGTTCCCATATAATCATCAGTTCTGTGGAAACACTTTGCTAGACATTATTCAAGTTACATAAACATAATATGAAACTGGATAAATACACATAATGAATTTTACCATGTCATGTCTCACGTATAAATATACTAACTGTATCATCAGAAAACATTGTTCATAACATTGAGGTCATTCATTTATTCATCAAACATGAATTGAATGCCTGCTCTATCCTGAGCACTGTTCTAGGTACCAGGGATATAATAATAACCAAAACAAACAGGACTTAACATTTTTTTTTAGAAAAAGAGAAACCACACGTGTGTGAGTGCAGGGGGCCGGGGGTAGAATGAAAGAGAGAGAGAGAGAGAGAGAGAGAGAGAGAGAGAGAATCTTAAGCAGGCTCCATGCCCAGCACAGAGCCAACAAGGGACTCCATCTCACGACCCTGAGATCATGACCTAAGCTGATTTCAAGAGTTGGATGTTTAACCAACTGAGCCACCCAGGTACCCCAGGATTTACATTTTCAGGAAAGAATAGCAATAAGCAAGCATATGTAAAAATTCCTTTATTTTTATTTATTGACTAAATAACTTATTTCTTCCCCTACAGATTTAATTTAGATCCAGAGTGTAAATGCACAGATGACAGACTCTGGGAAGCTCTAGAAATTGCTCAGCTGAAGAATATGGTCAAATCCCTGCCAGGAGGTCTAGGTATGTTTTCTAAAGAATACATTTATTTTAACATATGCAATTAATTCTATATATCTCTATCTATATTTTATGCTAGAATTACATAATTCATATTAAATCCCCTTATATTTAAAATAATTTCCAAAAGGTCATTAGGACACTTAAAATCTAATGATTTGCATGGGATGCAAAAGGATGAACCTTATAACAAATTCTGTTCTATATGAACACTCCAAAATATTCCTCTTAATACACTTAACTCTTCAGTCTTTTCACCTTTAGTGGTACAGGTCATTTTAATCAGAATATTTCCTTGTGATCATTCTACTCACATGATCTACATGACCTCTAACCCTCAGTAAATGAGTAAAAGGATTGAAGAGGCTACTAAGTTCAAAGTAGGAGGTACCATTTAGGAGCAGGCAGTTTCTCCACATTGGCAACCATTTTCTTTGTTCCCAGGAGGGACTGTTTCTTATATTTATGTAACATAATTTTGTGAAGACATCATTTTCTATGACCTTGCTGCAGTATCAGTTTTAGCCACCTGTGCAAGGGATAAAACACGTACTCAAACAATCACTGATATAAATTTAGCTCAAGAGTAAGGTAGACAACTTCTGGCAAATGATGACAGAATAAAACAACAACTTGAATAATGAAAGAAAGTGATTAACAAACCAAAACAACAAAGTGTACAATGCAGTGTTCAACTCATAAAAATGAATATTTATTGTTTTGGACTTAAAATCTGAACTCATTTATGGGGTGCCTGGGTGGCTCAGTTGGTTAAGCATCCGACTTCAGCTCAGGTCACGATCTCACAGTTCGTGGGTTCAAGGGCCGCATCAGGCTCTGTGCTGACAGCTCGGAGCCTGGAGCCTATTTCAAATTCTGTTTCTCCCTCTGTCTCTGTCCCTCCCCTGTTCATGCTGTGTCTCTGTCTCAAGAATAAATAAACATTAAAAAAAATCTGAACTCATTTAAGAAAGTAATCAGAAAGATCAGAGCTGGTTGATTAAATTAAATAGTAATAAATTAAATATTAATTTAATTTAATTATTAAATATGAATAAATCATTTATTAAATTAGATTTTAATAAATTATTTTAATTATTTTAATGAATAATAAATTTTATTTTAATTTTAATAAAAATTGTTTTAATAAATTTTAATTTTAATAAATAACATGTAGTTCCCATATTGGTTGTGTTGTATTGGCATCTAGAAAGAAAATCAGCCTCCAAAATAAAACCATGTTTATTATTAGTTTATTTGGTTAGGAGGACCTACTCAAAAACAATATGATTTTAATTAGGTTCCAAGGCGAAGGCATCCCACAAAGAGAAATTGAGATAGCATGTCTTTAAGGGTAGTTTTATTGACCTTGCCAGTGTTAGACCGTGGGAGCAATTCCAGAGGTCTGGAAGAACTTTCCTATCATAATTTTTGACGTCTCTCATGGTAAGCCCAATAAGTCTACTTGAGAAACTGATAATGCGTATATACCCTTCTCGTGGTACAGACACTCACACCGTTAGTAGTTGGAATACAGGCAATGAAAACTTTATAGTCCTCTTCACTTCACATGAAAGATGCATGCACCTGTTTTGAATCATGGGCATGATGTTCAAGGGTTATGGTACAGTGTAAGCAACAGGGGATTGTATTTACACAATGTAATTGAGTGTTGTTTATGCTCATTGTCCCCATAAAGATTATATCAACTGCTTGATAAAGATCTGGTTCAGGCCAACTCGGATGAAGAATATTCATCACCTCCATCACCCTCCTTATTTATTATGTAAATTAAAATTTGGAGAATAAAGGCATAGCTCCCAAGCGTGAAAAATTATAAAAATTTGATGCAATGAGAATATGATCAATAGAAATTTACCTCCAGGACCCTAAGAAGAAGTGTTTGAAACCTAATAAAAGAGATGTTTTGGAAACAGAATTTATCTTAACTTCATAGTAGGACAGTTTATGACATATGGATGAAAGCAAACAAAAATGATAATGAGGATGTAACATTCATCTATCCATACAATGTTTTATTCAGCCACTATGTCAGATGGACACACTGATGGACAAAAACAAACCCAGTCCTTAACCACATGGACCTTACAGTCCAGTGGGATGGTATAATGAAAAAAGAATGGATATTAGAGTCAAGAATGTTCTGTTTCTCATCAAGCTCTACTACAAATTAGCTATGTGATTACGGGCAAGCCACTTCATTTCTCTGGGCCTCAGATAATTATAATAAATAATCCCCCTTCATAATTATGTTCAATAATTAAATGACCTCTAAGGTCTTCCAGTCTTCAAGATGCCGAATGTATTTTATATCCTAGTATAAGGAGGTAATTTACAATCTGTTGTCAAAGATAGGATGGCCCAGGATCATCTTCATTTTCCCAAAGTAAAATTCCTCTTTGCCCTCCCACTATGAAATCTTCGCAGCAGTACATTGAGGTCCAGCATGCTCTTGTAGGGCATAACTATTTTCCCCTACTTTGCTCAAGGAAAATGTTAGTAGCATTTCTTTAGTGAAATCCTTGCTTCTCTCTCTGATGTAGATGCAGTTGTCACTGAAGGTGGGGAGAACTTTAGCGTTGGACAGAGACAGCTGTTTTGCCTTGCCAGGGCCTTTGTCCGCAAAAGCAGCATTCTCATCATGGACGAAGCAACAGCTTCCATTGACATGGCCACAGTGAGTACATTATCTATGCTTTTTAAATTGAAGAGTTGGAGAGACACACGTAAAAATTACAACTTATTTTTCCCCAACTGGGTTCAGAATCCTCAGTACTGTTGTTTTGAGTGTCTTCTCATTCATTTCTTTAATCAACGGATGATAGCACATTGAAAATTATGATAAAGGAGACATGACACTTTTAAAGCAATTCCTACTACCAGTAAACATAAAATAAACTTGCCATCACTTTTTGATAAATTCTTTTTTTAAAAAAAATTATTTTTGAGAAATAGAGAGCAGAGAAGGGGCAGAGAGAGAAGGGGACAGAGGATCTGAAGTGGGTCTCTGCTATCAACACCGATGTGGGGCTCAAACTCACGAACCATGAGATCATGACTTGAACTGAAGTCGGAGACTTCACCACCTGAGCCACCCAGACACCCCAGTTTTTGATAAATTCTTAAAGCAGTAAAATTCCAATGCTCAGTTGACAACAGTACTGTACTGTACTCAAGTGTTCAAGTCTTATGCCATGGAAGTTGTAAAATGAAGTATGCAAATTTCTATTTAATAGAAATTGATAAAATCAATCATTATTTTCTAAAGCAATTTGAAGAAGAAGTATTCACTAGAACTGACAGTGGTCTTCTCAGTGTGACCACAGGAACAAGCCAGAAACTTTAGCTTTTGAAAGAAATTATTTAAAACTGTTAAATACACCCAAGAAGGATCTGTCTAGAAGAATGTGATGGAGTGGAGAAAATGTCACATTAAACCACAAACTGTATGAGCTAGCAATTAATGTTGTTCTTTTACAAGTTAACTTGATATTAGACGTTTGGCATCAGAAAGGACAAAAATAAAAAACATCCACAAACGTATGGTATTCTCTTGCTGCACACTTTAGGTTGGGTAAAAAATATCCAGACATATGAAACAGTTTCAAGATTATTAAGAGTCAGTTATACATGGAGATGCTAATTTGACATCATTTCTTTCTAGTAATTCTAACCAATTACAGAAAGTTGTATCTCCTTCTCAAAGTTAACATAATTTGAAGCATATAAAATAGTTTCTAATTAAGCCAATTCACTAAATAAACAAAACTACATCAAAATTAGTATTAATTACTAATGATTTATAATATTGGGGATTATCATAAGTATAATAAGCCTTAAAAGAGATGAGAGAGAAAGAGAGAATGAATTAATGGGCAATAGGCCACCTTAACTGGAAGGAAGTCTTCATATTAAGACTTAGGAGTCTTAGGAATCAGGTTGCCTGGGTGGCTCAGTCAGTTAAGTGTCTGACTCTTGATTTGGGCTCAGGTCATGATCTCATGATTTGTGGGATCGAGCCTCATGAGGCTCTGCACTGACAGCATGGAGCCTGCTTGGGATTCTTTCTCTGCCCTTTCCTGATCACTCGCTCTCTCCCTCTCTCAAAATAAATAAATAAACTTAAGAAGACTTAGGAATCAAGTTTTCCCCTAGGAGAGAGAGAATCATTACCCAAAACATCTTTCAGGGTATAATGGTAACAGTTTGTGGTAAGGATAAAAATGGTTTTTGCCTAGATGGTTCTTCTTTTATGGGTCAAAATCTGAATTGGGGCATGTATTTTTACTTTTTCCCTTTTCTAACCCAAAGATTAACACCATTTTAGGGTTTTATTAGTTTTGAATACATACTGTTTGATATAACTCAAGTGAGCATTTCCATGCCCATTTAATTTCATTTTCCCCTTCCAGTTCCCTGGTTAACAAGTCTATCAGTCATTCTGGGTTGATCACTGAGTTTTATTGGCCTTTTGAAGACACATACAGAACCCAGCATAAGCTTGCTGCTGGCACTGCCCCCTGTCATACCTTCCTCAGAAGACAAGAGCCAGGAATTCTCAGAAGCCTGGGGGTCTTTGGTCTTAGGGAGGAATAGTATGGCAAGAAAAAGAAGTCCAGAGAAAATTCAGACTTAATTTATTTATTTTTTGACAGGAAAACATTTTGCAGAAAGTGGTAATGACGGCTTTTGCAGACCGCACTGTTGTTACAATAGCTGTAAGTATTGGAGACAGGGTTATTTATTCCTCTTTGGGTTTTGTTCCAAGATTCAATAATCTTAACTTTTGGGCAATTCAAGTATACGTACGTTGAATGATATATTTCTCTGCCAATGCTTCTGTATGTGTGAAATACACACACACATACACACAGCTATGCTCTAAAAGTCTTTATATTGTTTTTCCCCAAACTGTCTGTTCTGCCTACCTCCCCTAATGATGTGATATCCTAAATCTAAGGATTCCAGCAGGAATGCCTGTGTTTTTTCACCAGACACAGATGGTAATTCACATGGGGTAATTCTCTTTTTGATAATCTAATCATCTGATGAGCAGTTTCAGAAGCAAAATTCTTCAAAATGACTACCAATTCTGCTACTACTTACACTTAATTTCTATGTTTCTATTCATTTAACTGTTTAAACAAGGAAGCAATGAGATACAGCTGAGGCAGATACTTTCTCTGAGCACCAAATTGAAGGATTGCTCACATCTTTGTATTTGTCATAGCTTACTTAATGTAGGCCATGGTTTTCTTCTTCCTGTCTGCAGATGGATGGTTTCTTGCTCGCATTTAGGCTTAATGTTTAACAATAACTTTTTTAAATGAATCACCTGGACATTTTCCGTCTTGCTGACTCTTGTCTTTCCATTTCTCTTTTCTCTCCAGCACCGTGTCTCCTCTATTTTGGATGCAGGTCTTGTTTTAGTCTTCTCTGAGGGTATTTTAGTGGAGTGTGATAATGTTCCAAACTTGCTCGCCCACAAGAATGGCCTCTTTTCCACTTTGGTGATGACCAACAAGTAGACCATCATCAGCTCCTCTGCCAACTAGCCCATTCTCTGGTAGTTATCTAGTGGCATCCCCTCAGTCAGGCAGGACTAATGCAGGGATTAAAGGGGATGGGGATATGGTGAAGGAAATGCCTTTGGGGTATTCTCATGCAAATCAGCTCAACCTGCTGCTTCAGTTATGTTCAATACTTAATGAAGCACATGCATAATTTTAAGTATGTATATATGCAGGAGGTAGTACTTACGAAAACCCGAGAATCAGATTTACCTCTGTCCTATGGACCAATTTCACTATTCTTTGAGGATATATTTTAAGTGTCCTTAAAAACACTGTACATGTTCCTTATGTGCCCTGAAGATTGCATTATTTAATTTACAGAATTATTTATGTTTAACCGTTGAGTACTGGGAGCTATGTATGAAGTGCTTGTATGCTTCCATTTTTGTGACTGATACATGGGGAAAGAGAACCTTTTGAAGTGCAGCTTTTCTTAAAGTGGTAGGAAATGACTCCCATCAGGGCCCACCTTTTATACACTGGGCCTAGGTAAAGAAAAGGCCACTTTTTTCTCACTTTCCCAATGAACTCTGTCCTGGAGGAGAGTTACCTGATTAAGTCATTCACACTGGAGTGTGAAGGATTTAATGGGTGAGAGAATTAGCTAACTTGAAAAACAGTTCTCTAATATTTTCAAAAATTTTCTCTCTGGAGAAGGTAGGGAGATATTTGGGGGGAGAAAGAACTTCCTGTTGCCCCTAAATGAGCAGGTAAAGGAGTGGGGGAAGCAGACCCTTGCCTACTCAAAAGACTAGTTTTCTGTCTTCTGCATGAAGCATGGTATTGCTGAGTAGCCCCATTTAGTTCACACCTAGATTACTTGAGCATAATTTGTATGTCTTTAAATTTGTTTTTAATCTTTATTTATTTTTGAGAGAGAGAGAGAGATAGAGTGTGAGCGGGGGTGGGGCAGAGGGAGAGGGAGACAGAATCCGAAGCAGGCTCCAGGCTCTGAGCTGTCAGCACAGAGCCCAACATGGGGCTGGAACTCACAAAGCACGATATCATGATCTGAGTCAAAGTCGGACACTCAACCTACTAGCCACCCAGGCACCCCATAGCAAAATTTCTATTTTTAACCAAAAAATTATGTTCTCTTTCTTATCTGCCTACATTCACTGAATACTTTTCATAGACTTCTGTATCTTTCACCCATTCTTCATTTCAAGACCACTAATGTAGTCACTAGGATACCTCCCCATTGGAACACAGAAAGCCATGGGTAGGATGAATTACCATGGGACCAACTTCTCTTAACAGGCTCTTAACAGAAAGAGAAAACCACCAACTTGTGACAGAACCCTTGTAGAATGATTCTCAGCTATGTTAACAGTTACTATTCTTTCTTCCCTGCTAAAAGCTGTTCTGTTAATTTTGTTGACTGCAACTGAAAACAGTGAAAGAACTTCAAAAGACAAATGTCTTTGGGTTCTGAAAGTAAGCCTTCATGCACGAAAATAGTGCATGGCATTTATTTATGAAAGTGATTTATTCTTCACTCTTAATTAATTTCTCTAGAGCATTTCAAAAATTGCATCAATGCTATTATAATTGACACCACAGTTTCTCAAGAAAAAATATTTTTGATTAATTGAATAGACACCACATACATATTTCATTGGCCAAGATTTTTCCATGTTTTTATTTTTATTTTTTAAGTAAATGTTATTTTAGTAAAACAAGGCAATGTTTATAATATTCTATTTATGGATTTAAAGGCCAAATTCCTTTTTTAGCATCTATGATATGATGATTGAAGAATAATCTTTTTTGGAGGGAAAATACACAGCAGATATTAAACAATTCATTAACCTTAAGTTTTTTTTTTTCTAAATGCATGGGTATACAAGTGATTCTGATCTTCTCTCAAAAATAAATAAGCAGTATCCTACAAATTTTGGTAATTCCTAAATATATATCATTCAACACTTATTTATTATTGAGAGACAGAGAGAAACAGAGCATGAGCGGGGGAGGGGCAGAGAGCAGAGGTGACACAGAATCTGAAGCAGGCTCCAGGCTCTGAGCTGTCAGCACAGAGCCAGACACGTGGCTCAAACGCACAAACTGCGAGATCATGACCTGAGCTGAAGTCAGACGCTAACAGACTAAACCACCCAGGTGCCCCTATATCATTCATTGCTAGTCAGTAAATGATAGGTTTGTTATGGATATGTGAAATACTGGTACATGTTCTAAGCTGGCATCTTTATTATACTCCGTATATGTCTTTCTTTTCACCTTTAGCTGTCCACCTATGTCTCTTTGCTTTTCTGAGAGCATAAGCATTGAGACTACTCCATCTACATGGCCCAGGGAAGAAGATAGGCCTTTGTCCCGGGGATGGTTTTAGGTTGGATGCTGGGTTGTAAGGAGAAGGAACTTTGGAAAATTGTGTGTCAGATAAACAGATGGTTTTTCTGGGTCCGTCACTTCCATCATCATTCTGATGTTTTGACCTGCATAGTCCACATCCAGTATGGTAGCCCTGAACCATACGTGGCTATTGAACATTCAAAATGTGAGTAGTCCAAATTAAGAGATACTGTAAGTGTGAAACACACAGGATTTCAAGAACTTAGTACTTATAGAAAAATGTAAAAGATATCATTAATAATTTTTAAGTTGATTATATATTGAAATATTTTAAATATATTGGCTAAAATATATCATTAGAATGGATTTCATGGGATGCCTTGCTGGCTCAATCTGTAGAGCATGCAACTCTTGATGTCAAGGTTATGAGTTCAAGCCCCACACTGGGTGTAGAGCTTACTTAAAAAAAATCAACTGGATTTAATGTAACTTCAAATAGATCTCACCTGTGTACTTACGGTTTAAAATGTGGCTTTTAAGAAATTTAAAATTACATGTGTCTCACATTTGTGGTTCACATTATATTTCTATTTCTCAGCACTTATCTTACCAAGAGAAGTGAAAAGCCCACAGCACAGACTTTTCCCTTGTAAATTTTAAAAATAAAAAAAAATAATAGTGTCTGACATTTAGTATTTGCTTGTATGTGTCAGACAAGGTGCTGATTTTTTTTTTTACATGGATAATCTCATTTGATCCTCACCACCATTCTGTGAGGCAGGTACTATATTACTACCATCATTTTACAGATGTGGAACTTGAGACATACAAAAATTTAGTTTGTTGATCAGGATCGCACAACCAAACATGATGAAACCAAAATACAAGTCCAGTCTAACCTCAAAGTCCATGCTCTTAACCATAACACTAATAATGGTAGGCGAACAATCCTCTAAGGTACCAGATACTCCCTACAAAACAGTTTGATAGCAGGGTGGAAATATCTCATGCTTTGAAGTTAATAAGTCTGGTTTTAATCCTGGTTCTGCTACTTATTATCTATGTGATCTCCTGATTTTGCTTTATCTCTGTGAGCCACAGTGGTCTTGCAAACAAAGCAGAGAGAGATAACACCCACATTTGAGGAATGTTTTGATGATTAACAAGTATGTGTGTGGAGCACTTAATGTATAGCATATGCTCAGTAAGTGATAGTTTTTATTATTAGTTACTAATCCCAAAGCTTCTCTCCAAAGGGTACTAGGTGGAAAGAGAGAACAAGTGTGTGGCAGTGATGTCTAAAGACTAAAGCATGGCGTGTCTAAAGTCCCGGATAATTCATTCTAATACTGCATGCCAGAATGGATTTCCTCATATTGTGTTCCCAGAATTGAACCACCTTCCAATGTTCTTCAGATGTGTGTTAGCCCACAAGTTAGTTGACTCCACACAAGAGATCGTTTTAGTCTAGACTAAATGATAACCCAAATGGTCCATGATGGTTCTTCTTATCATTTAATTATTTGACAAACAAAATTAGCCTCCTTACACATCCATGACAGTACTGAAACTACTATATTAGCTACCTCAATTTAATACAGCCCATCCCAAACCCAGTTACACTGGCCAGCATTTAAAAGTATGTAAATAATGATATGTTAAATAAGAAAAAGAGGCTGTGTTTCGTGCACCTCCTAGTGCCCCGAGATAAAGAATTGTCCCTGAATAATCGATGAAATATGCATATTCCATAGCTTTGCCTGTACCTTGAAATCTGTAACAAATACATGTTGTTTTTTTTTCACTCACAGCATCGGGTTCACACTATTCTGACGGCAGACCTAGTTATTGTGATGAAGCGAGGAAATATTTTAGAATATGACACTCCAGAAAGCCTCTTGGCTAGAGAAGATGGAGTTTTTGCTTCTTTTGTCCGTGCAGACATGTGAAGAGATGTCTTGAAACAATACATGGATTTAAAATAATGCAGTCATAACCTACTTAATGGATCATCAGCTTGACCTTCATAAAGTGGCTTCTTAAATTTTTACTCTTTCGTAAAGCTTATTTGTTGTGTTGTGGGACTTTGTACTTAGTAACAATGTCACTTTACTGATGACACTTTACTGTATTTCCTATATGGATACTTCCTTTTTGTTTTTCTTTCCTAGACTCTACTGCTTAAATAGGTTCATTACTGATGTTTTTCTAATGATTAAGCCACTTTACCTTTAAGAATAGCAGGTTGCATTAAAACATGTAAGCTACTTTAAGTAGTAAGTCAACAGCTATATTTTCTCATAGTTTTAAGTCTGTTAAATAGCTCTCAGGTATAGAGGTTATCATGAGTATTCAGTATTGTTGTACTCTTATTTGTAAGAATATATTTTCCTTTTTGTTGGTGTCTCCAGTTGTTATTGGAAGAGGATTAAAAGAACAGGTTTCTAATCAGTGAGAAAATAAAACACTCAAATTCATTATCTACTGAATGTGAATGTTCTGTGTTCATTAATATTAGTAATACTGATGCATCCTTAACCAGTTTTTTTTCCCTCATCTAAATTGTTTTCTGTTACCAAGAAGTCACCACATTTATAGTAGCTTTGTAAAGCCAAAGCCTTAACTGGAAAGATCATAAAAAGAGTTTGGATATTTGAAAACGTATACTCAAGCTTCTGTTTTTCCCTGTCTAGTAAGGAGAGAGTTCTTAAGGTATCAGGCATAATGTGTTTTTTCCAGACTAAAGTTCAAAGAATAAATAGATTCAATCCTTCAGTGGCAGACCAGCTAATGCTCTCTGTGATTTAACTCATCATTAGATGTGTTTATGATTTTGAGCCCTAAAATTCCACATTATTCAAGATTCAAATTTATATTTGCCTATATAAGTATATATATAACAAGTGTCTATTTCAAGATGGAAGCATATACCTCTTTTTATGCACAGTGGTGTCACACATGTATCCATTTTGCTCTAATTTTAACGTACATGTAAAAAGGAATCAAAATGTTATTTTAATATTAGTATGTGTGTTAGGAGTGCATCAAAAATGTATGGAATATTAATGCTGTTTTGCTTAAATATAAATTAACAAATTTTAAAATACCAAATTTATCTGCACTTGTCATGCTAGCAGCCAAAGCATTCTACTATAATTCTGTGCCCACCTTGTATAAATACCATTGATTCTCATATGAAGATCCATATGCATTGTTAGATTTTGAAGAATTATGACTGATGGAAAAAGAGAATTTATGCTTCTTCCATATAGTTCTTGTGTTCCGTTTATTATATTATGTACTCACTCTTGGGAAATATGTAATACTTATTTATCCAAAATATATGACTGGGCCTTTACCTGAATATAGAGTCCTGATGTTTACCTAGTAAGTTCCACGAGGACGGACACAATGTCCTATGTTATTTTGCTTGAATTGTCACTCTTTGTTGCATATAAAGAACTTCATTGGGAGAAAAATCCTCTTACTGTTCCCCAAAAGGTAAACAAAATGGAATCAATAACTATTAAATCAATCTTGAAAATATTTTCTAAAATTTCTACCAATCTCCTCCAAGTATTTCTGGCATGGGAATGTTTTACAAGGCTGCATTTACATGACGCTTGTTATCAACTTATAGCTCATTCTCACAGAGAAATGGGGACTTACCCATAAGAGTGATTCCTTACAATATTTGTAAGTTATACTTCTGTACCAGCAATGTCAACAGATCCGCAGCTAATTACACTAAACCTAGAATCACGTTTATCATTCTAACACCCGAGTGGTCACTGGTTCCCTCATAACTTTTAGTCACTTAAGTTGAGTGTTTGTTTACAAAACTAAACTGACTGAATAAAGTCAGGGATGATTTTTTAACTGTTTAATCATTTATTATATCACATCTTTCATCTATTGAATATAGAAATGACTCATCTTGAAATAATTCTTTACTAAATAGGTGCATATCTATAAAAGATGAGACTTAACCAAATCAAATTTTACACTCACAAATTTTACATTTAATTAACCAAACTTAATTTTATAAATTTTAATTCCTTAATATTTGATAAAATCAATTAATGCATAAAATTTATGTGAAAACTAACAAGGTAACTAATATCACTGAGAGATAAAAAAAAATTTCTCTTAAAGGATTGTGCATCCTCTATTTTTATGCTACTACTCATCATCCATTTAAAAGTCAACTTAGCTCTAGATTAGATACCAGAAGACTGGTATTTGAGTTCAAGTAACTGATATTTGAGATCTGGGACCATGTCTGTTTTGTCTTTCTGCCTTTTGCATTTAATGGTGTCTAGCTTGCAGTAGGCCCTAATAAGTGTAGATTACTGATCCACTGATTATCTTACCACTAGCCATGTGCCTAGTATTATGGATTATTCCCTTCACCTTCTGGGTTATGTTTATTCTACTGTGAAATTATACTGACTTGGTATTATATCATAAATTATCTTTTTCTTTGCTTGACTAAATAGGGTTATTATTCATTCACTTATAGTATCATTGGGTATCAACCAAGGTGATCAATAGATGTAAATTAACACCAATTGCTGAGATAATACCCTGCTTTGACAATTTTGTTTCACATTTGCCACAGTCATGCACTTCATTAGTTTTATATATAGGTCCTATGTGGAAGTTTCCATTAAGTGAAACAGCTATATGGATAAATTTTATGACATCCCTAATGAAATGGCTAGATGTCTGGACTTTTCCCTAAGGTTTATTGATCAATTTTTATAGCTGTCTTCCAATGTATCTTTTATCACTTATTTTGTACTACATTCTTTGGAGTTCTGTGATTTATAGTACTATGATAAATCCCTATTGATTTATCTAAAGTTAAAGGCAATCTTCTAACCTTAGCATTTTAGCATAAGAAACAGTAGTCAAGAGGATGGGTCCTGTAACTTAAGTTTGATTTCTTCTTTAGTAATTACACATCATTCACAATGGTTTTTCTCAAGCACTAGTAAGGATCACCTGGGTCAACTTTCCAGTGAAAGGGCTTGTGTTCTGGCAAGTGTCTCCAGATGAGATTCATAACTAGGCAAGTTTGGGAATCACTGACCCACCTCACTCATCACTGTAGTTTCCTTTTGTTATGCATAATGTGAAGTCAGAGAATAGTGAAGGTGATTTTCACATGTTTCCTCTCTTTCCTGACATTACCTTACTCCAAATGTCTAAAACAAGCCTCTCAGTGTCATTGAGTGAACCCCTTAGTTCATATAGTTAAATGAACTGAATATTACCCAAGAAGATGGGTTCTGAATGTATTTTCTTTTGTTTTGTGGTTTAATCAGCAATATGGAATCTAAGGGGAAAATGTCTTCACAAAAATACAAAGCTTCCCCTGCCCACATCTGAGTTAGGTGTTGAATCATTTGTATGTTATTCTGATGAATTTGGAATCATATTTCCAAATGTTCACAGTCCATAATGTGAGGGGTTTGGGTAAGTTTCACTATCGATACCTCACACTGTGGAATGAAGGTGAGTTATCTGCGATGATTTTTCACCTTTCCATCTTCACATTTTTTTCTACAGGTGTTTGTCATCATCACTGATACATAAATGTTGATATATTCATTCTATATATCTACTACATAGGATTTAAATTATTTCTTTTTCTACAGGCAGTAGCAAATTTCTCTTTGCCGTTCACACCATGGTCACCAGTGCCCTCTTCCTAAATTGACAAAAAGTCAAAGGAGTCATACCTGGCTAAATAAGTTAGCTGACTCTAAGAAGAATGCTCTCTGTGAACTTCGTGCCACCAACCATCACAGATCATGTCCAATTATACACTACACACTAATGACAAAGAGCTTTGTTTTCCGATCATTTTTTTTATCACCTACCTAATTTGCCCATTGCATAAAATAAGTAATGTGTTTATATGCAGCAATAGTACAACGCTACTTAATGCCACTCCATTCCCATTTTTCTCTTAGAGCCACATTATGCACTATTTATACACATTATCAGTTATTGTTAAGTGAAAGACTATTGACCTTTAATATTATCAGAGTCAAGTGGATTTAGACCAGCTCTTCCATATCTAGGTATTTGCTCTTTGACCCATAGTAATTGGGGCTTTGTTCCAACACTAGTTTAAGGAGCAATTAAAACAAATTAATCTTTCAGACACCCAAAATGTTTATCAAGTCTGAATGTAGACATAAATAGAATTCTCAACTGTTTAAATTCTTAAGGTGTACTGTTAACCCTCTTTCAAAGGTTACATCCTATCCTCCAACTCCTCAGTACATGTGCATGCCACCCTCCACATGCACATATATGTTCACATTTTATCTTGCTGTCCTAAAGAAGAATAAAGTTGAGTTAACCTTTGCATCACATATTAATGCAAATGCATAGATAAGCGTACAATGGCTAGCATAAAGAGAAATTCTTATAATCACAATAATCTATAAGTGTATCTTCTAGCCCTAAGGCCACCTTAGGAGGACATTTCACTTATGGATAGATCATAAAATGTGTTTCCAGTGATATGAAATTCAACTTTTTTTTCTATTATTTTAAAAAATAACAATGGCAACATATTGTTGGGTTATGTTGAGTGGGGTTTTTTTAGTTCAACAAAGAGATGATAATGGTTGTCATAAGGGTAATGAACTGAGCAGGGCATCTATGAAAGAAAGGTGGCTATCTCCTTATTAAGGGATGCTACATGAAAACAAACTTTGGTTTTTCATCTTGAGTAATACTGTTACGAATATCTGCTATGTGTTCACCTTTGAGTAAAAAAAGTATGATTCAAGGAGATTATTTTTCAGGGTAACACAAAGCTTTACTGCATATTAAAATAGTATAAAATCTTTTTTTAAATTTTTTAATGTTTATTTTTGAGAAAGACAGACAAAGAGACAGAGACAGAGAGTGAGCAGGGGAGGGCCAG